GTTCAGAGTCCGTAAGAGGGTCTAGATCTCCGGATTAGAGTTCCTAAGAGGGGATCCAGTTCTCTGAGTGGGTGACCAACAGGTGTTCGCACCTCAGGGCATGGCACTATTGTTTGTGACCTCACGAGTCCCGACCCACCCAGCTCTGATCTTGGTTTGTCCTGCCCGTGCGTCCTCCTGGGCACTGGACTTCAGTGAGGGACGACCCTGCCCCCTGCCAGGCAGGCAGCTGAGCAGTATGGACTTGGCACCAGCAGCTGGGGTTTGGGGGTCACGATGGCATGCCACGTGGCAGAGGGTGGCCTGGGCCCTGGCGGCACCTGGGAGGGCGTGGGTGGCACAGGAATTTGTTCCACGTTGCCTCTCAAAGCTCCAGACTCTGCAGAGAATGCAGTGTGTGTTTCTCCCCCAATGCCAGGGGCTCCCCTCCGGCGTCCAGCACCAGCAGCTCCAGCCTGACCAGTGACGTGGCCAAGCAGCCAGTCAGCCGAGACCTGCCTCCTGGCCGGCCGGGCACCACAGCCCCCGGGGGGGCACAGTACACCCCTCACTCCCACCAGTTCCCCCGGACGCGGAAGATGTTCGACAAGGGCCCAGACCAGGTACGGAACCCCGGCTGCCTCGTGATCTGGACACTGAGCATTGCTTCTCAGATGACTGCTCACGCCACGCGGGACAGGGCAGGTCTGTGGGCCGCTCTCTGCCTTTTCAGATCCGGGCACTGGCCCTCGCTGGCACTCCCCTCTGCCTGCGCTCTGCAGGAATGTTGCCGGGTGTGTCCCGGTTCTCCAACCCTGGTTCTGGGTTCACCGTACCTGGAGCTCCCGTGTAACAAAACGGGGCCTGGAGTTCCCTGGCGCTCCCCTTCCTGGATACACAGCACTCTGCGTCCCCTCGGGGGCAGCTGCGCCACAGAGCGTGTATTCTGTGAACATCCAGGTACGCTGCTGCATAAATAGGTACACTCTCTTTGCCTTTAAAGTTGAAAAAGAAACTTCTGGAAAGAGGAACATGTGCTTAGATTTGCTGGGGTTGTGAGAGCGGCGTGAGGCAGGGGGTAGCCTGGAGACCTCGGCTGTCTCGCCCAGGTGTTGCTGCTTTGTCAGTTTAGGGCACCGGGGCTCGGGAAGATGGCTCAGGGCGCACCCGCACCCCAGCAGCTCTGTGTACAACAACCTGAGAGCTCAGCAGTGGAGTGGGGTCTGGGGCTCGCGTGATGACCCAGTGATTTTAAAAGAAGTTGGCAGCCGCCTTGCAGGTGACTTGGGGTCTGCATGGCCGTGTTAGGGTAGAAGGGCCATCACGGCAGGAGTGGGCAGGTCCCCAGGGGTGCCACTCAGCCCTGGCCCACCTGGACTTTCCATGCCTCAGCAGCAGAGGAACGAGAACCACCGCTGAGCCGCACGTGCAGGGTCAGCCTCCGGGCCAGGCCCTGATGGGGGCAGGAGGCCGCCGCGGTCCTGGGGAGCAGCGTCACCGGCACATGCAGCTCCCCCACCTGCCCCCGCCCTGGCCACAGCTCTCACTGTGGAGCCAGAGCAGCTGCCTGGGGGTGGGGGATGTGCCTCTCACTGCGCCTGCCCTGAGATGATGGGGAGCTCCCTGGGCCAAGACACGACATGAGAGACGCCAGCAGGCCCACCCCATGCTCATGGCACAGCACGGGAGACCCCTGGTGCTCGGCCTCACTGCATGAACACACACGACTCTGACAGGCCTGGCTGCTGCAGGTCCCATGGCAGGAAACACCCAGTAGCTCCATGTCCTCTTTCTCCGGTGGCAGGGAGCCCTCGCCGGCCTGCACAGCTGCACTCCACCGAGGCTGCTTCACACGGGAGTCCCCGCTCAGCCTGGTGTCGTAGGGCTGTTGCGGGAGCCTTCGTGAGACCAAGCGGCAGAGGCTTTTTGGGTTGATGAACTGGTGCACACAGATCCCCATGGCACTGTCTAAGCAGCCAGCATCGGCTTGGGAGCTGTGCTGGGTCGGCCCTGGGGGTGGTGGGCAGACACAGCTCACTTTACAGCCTGGGACCCTCAGTCCCCAACCAGACGCTCAGGGGTTCTCGGTCACCAGGATACGGAAAGTGAGCAGAGCGCAGAAGCGCCGGCCTTAGGGGCCGCCCAGTGCTCCCGGCAATGCCTCTGTCCCCTGCGGGAGCTCTTTCGAGCTCAGGAGTGGCGTGACTGACTGGTGTTTCTTTTTCCTTCCAACCCTCCTACTCAACAAACCCCGAAGACTGCAGATGACGCAGATGATGCTGCTGGACACAAAAGCTTCGTCTCCGCCGCAGTGCAGACAGGCTTCTGCGACTGGAGCGCCCGCTATTTCGCCCAGCCTGTCATGAAGGTGCGTACGGGCATAGGGTTCAAAGCCGAGTCCCGGCCAACGTGTGTCCCTCCCACCTCGTTACTCAAGGCTCAGGGCTGTGGGAGCATCGTGTTGTGGTCGTGGGTAACAGACTTCATGTACCTTCCTGTCGCCGGACAAAAAGAAAAAGCCTGCCTGGTCGGAGCTTGCCGCTATGACAGGTGTCACTTCGCCGTTACAAGGTCACGGCAGGCCTTCCACTCCCGAATGGTGAGGATCGCGAGAGGCCCGTCCCCAGGCCACACTTGGGTGGCTCAGAGGTTTGGGGACTATTAACCAAGCCTCCTGTATCCGACCCCAGCATTTGGGGTTAACACCACAAGACTGTCTCTGAGGCTCAACCCTCACACAGCCCTAAGCAGCGGCGTGTGCTGTGGATGCCGTGGCTGTGTGCCCACGGGTTGGGGCAGGGCGGCGGCTCTGTGCCTCTGTGAGGGATGGGTAGGAGCTGCTTTGTCAACACCGTCCTGGAGTTCATCCCTCTACCGAGGTCCAGCGGGGACTCGTGTAGATTTTCTATAAATCTAAAGTGCGTTCGAGAAAACCTTCCTCTTCCCTCATATATAATTGAAAACTGAAACTCAGCTTATTCCTGATTGTATATCAAGCTCACATCTTAGTAATCTCCGCGAATGGTGTTTGGCCCCCAGGACAGCTCAACTCCTGTGTTCCGGTCCTCATAGTGAACACCGATTTCTGTTCATAAAAACGCAGAATCATCAGGCAGCCCCTAGGCAGGCAGGTTATAAAAAGCTACTGAGCCCCTTTACTGCAGAAGAGAGGAGTTCGCTTCTCACTTCTCGGATGTGCCTGGGTGTCAGTGCCCGGCCTCACTGACAGCATCTGGCCAGTGAGCATCAGACGCCTTCAGTAGCCACCCCCTTCGACCCAGCCGTGACTCTGCTCAAATACTCTCTAGAGAAAATAATCCAGACACAGATGACTTCTGTGTTATTTATAAGAGTGAAAATTGAGATTCACTTAAATGTCCACAGAGGGTGAATAGTTAAAAAGTTATGAAATATTTGTTGAGATATTATTGGGGCTGTTGAAAAGTTAAACATAAGCCGGGCGCGGTGGCTCAAGCCTGTAATCCCAGCACTTTGGGAGGCCGAGGTGGGTGGATCACGAGGTCAAGAGATTGAGACCATCCTGGTCAACGTGGTGAAACCCCGTCTCTACTAAAAATACAAAAAATTAGCTGGGCATGGTGGCGCGTGCCTGTAATCCCAGCTACTCAGGAGGCTGAGGCAGGAGAATTGCCTGAACCCAGGAGGCGGAGGTTGCGGTGAGCCGAGATCGCGCCATTGCACTCCAGCCTGGGTAACAAGAGTGAAACTCCGTCTCAAAAAAAAAAAAAAAAAAAGAAAAGTTAAACATGAAAACTAGTGTCCTGAGGAAGTGCTCATGATGACATTCTTTAGTCGGAAAAAATGCAGGCCCAGAGCCCAGATCTGCGGAACGGTCAGAGCTGCAGTTCCCATGCGCAGAACACTGTGCACAGGATGAAGACCAGAAGAGCCCGCTCTTAACTAGAGATTCGCAGATGCCGCCATCGCAGCGGCGCTGAACCTGGGCTGCTTTTGTGCCTCCTGTGCAGTTTCTACACTAAGAATGAAGCACCTCTAGAGTCGGGGGAAGGGTATTAAAGAAACAAGCCCCGGGACATCACTGAGGCCGGTGGATTCGATCCAGGTCAGCAGGCCTCCCACTTACCTGCGGGTGGCACAAGGCTGGCGTCCCCTGCAGACAGAGGGAAGGGCCTCTTCCCATCACTAGGATGCTTCCGGTTAGGAAGGAAAGAGTAAGCGAATCCTGGAATTGGAGGCAGTAAGCAGGAGCCACCCAAGCTGTAAGCGAGCCGGAGCTGGGAGGAGGCTGGACACTGCGCAGGGGGTGCCAGGCTGTCCTTTAGAACTGCGGCACAGTCTGTTTAAATGGAATTTAGTCTAGTATTAACAAGCTTGGTTTCCTTGATGCAGTCTCGCGCTCAAGGCAGACAAGGTCAGGTGACTAAGAAACCCACATCTTCTGTTTTCCTCGTTGCTGGAATGGCAGTGGCTGTAAATTGTGCTGATTTCTTGGTCTGCTCATGAGAGGCTTTTCTTGAAGTCCTTGACAAATGCGTATTCTCGGTCACCTATTCTGTGAGGAAGAGGAATGGCGTAGATAATCCAACTGATTGCTGTTGTGGTTGTGGCATTCACGGTTAAGGTTAGGGTAGAGCCGCAGAAGAAACAGACTTCATGTACCTTCCTGTCGCCGGACAGAAAGAAAAAGCCTGGCTGGTGGAGCTTGCCGCTGTGCACGTGTGTGTCTGTGTATGTCTGAGTGGTGCATGTGTGTCTGTGTGTGTCTCTCGTGTGTGTGTGTGCTTCTGTGTGTCTATGTGTGTGTTTCTTGTGTGTTCCTGTGTGTGTCTGTGTGCGTGTGTTTCTGTGTGTCCCTGTGTGTGTATCTGTGTGTGTTTCTGTGTGTCCCTATGTGTTTCCGTGTGTCCCTGTGTGTGTCTGTGTGTGTGTTTCTGTGTGTCCCTGTATGTGCGTGTGTGTTTCTGTGTGTCCCTGTGTCTGTGTGCTTCTGTGTGTCCGTGTGTCTGTGTGTGTTTCTGTGTCCCTGTGTGTGTGTCTGTGTGTGTGCTTCTGCATGTCCCTGTGTGTGTGTCTGCGTGCGCTTCTATGTGTCTGTGTATGTCGCTGTGTGTATGTGTGTGTCTGTGTGTCTATTTGTTCCAGTGAGTGCAAGCCCCAAGCCAACTCTCCTCTCCTTCTTCAGATTAGCAGCCCCCCCACCGCCCTCATCCTCCTCCATTTGCACACCTGAGGGTTCCCACCCACACAGAGGAGCTGGAGGGTGTCAGCCTTGTGGTCTAGCCCTGCCAGCGGGTCCTGTAGTGTGGACTCTGCAGAGGTTAATCCGGGTGTCCATATGGCAGCTGCCGGCTGACGCGAGGTTAGTCGGGAGATGGTTGATGAAGGAGTAAACGCCGTCTTCCTCTGCCCCTGCCAAGTATTTGAAAACAAACGCTCACTTAGTCATCACTTGAGACGGCAGGCTCTGGGTGTCGTGATGGAAAGGAGCGCCCTGCCGCGGTCGGCGGCGTCTGTAGCTCCCAATGGCAGCTACAGTCTTAGGGTTTCTTTGACATCACAGACCTTCTCTGAACTTAGCAGAGGAAGAAGGACATGTTTTATCCTGTTTTAAAAAACATCGCTTTCCTCCTTCTCTAGGTGGTATTCATAAAGGTGTTTGTGGTTTCATTAATCATCTAATGACATCTGGGTAACAAGCTGCCCTGGGAGCGGTTTGTATGAAGCCCACTTCACATGTAAACTGAAAACAGCTCTAAGGCTAGGATTGAACCTCAGAAGGAACACCAGAACTGCAAACCCTAAGCTGCTTCAAGGCATATCAGAAACTAACATAGTTACCAGGTCACAAATAATAACCAGTTTACACTAATGTGCAAGTAATGATGAGTAGGTTGAGCCTCCGAAGACACCGTGGTGAGGACAGTTGCTGCTGACTTTTTTATTAGTTCGGATTTCTTACAGCTCTAAGTGACTGGAAGGAACCGGGCTCTGCGTGTGGCTCAACCTTGATTCATGAAGCAACCTCGTTTCTCCCTGTGTTGGTTCACAGAGCTCATGTCTGCATTAGAAACCACAAAAGAATATTCAAAATGGTCTGTCATATGCTTCAGAAAGAAACAGATGTATTGAATTGTGTTCTGATTACAAAAGTAATATGACTTTTATCTTCTCTCAGTTGGAAAGTTTCAAAGGTTGATTCTACCCAGAGCCTGGTTTCCAGGGCTGTGGGAGGTGTGGGCTCTCACATGCTGCTGGGCAGGTACACTGTTCCCTTTCCTTAGGGCCCTCACATGCTGCTGGGCAGGTACACTGTTCCCTTTCCTTAGGGCCCTCACATGCTGCTGGGCAGGTACACTGTTCCCTTTCCTTAGGGCCATGAGGCAGTAACTGTCAGTGTTAGAAATGGCTGTCCTGCAAAGCCAGTGCTCCTGCTGTGAGACACACATTCTGAAGCCACGAACACACACGTCCATGTGGTGCCTCTGCCCAGAGGGCTTCATGACAGCGTGGTCTGTAATAGTGAAAAGTTGAAAAGAAATTACACAGTAGGATACTTAATTTAAAATGATGCATTCAGGCGCTGGAATACTATACAGCCATTAAAATTCTTCAGTTGTGTCTTTCTGTGAGGACTTGGTTGACTGTCCTTGATCTAAAAAATGAAATAAATTGTACAAAAAGCTCGCACAAGCTCTGCGGTTCTGCAGACTGGAACAAGCACGGGAGGAGACCTGGGCAGTCACACAGTCATGCAGCGACTTCTACAGGGCGGGACTGGAGCCCGGCAAAGGGACCCTTCTTTCGTTCATCGTATACTGCTGGGTTATTTGAATTTTTTAGAAAAAATAGTTATTAGTTTTACAATTTAAAACAGCCTAAAATACCATTTTTAATCATAAAAAGCTTTGAGCGTCGGCACGTTGTCGTGAGGCGTCGCATGGGAGCCCAGTTTCTTGGCGCACAGCCCTTAAAGCCGCAGCTGGGATTCACGCTTGGCCGCTCCGCAGAGAACACGGATCTTGTTTTGCTGTCAGCAGGCTCGAGGGTGGATGTGGGAGCCGCGCTGCCCGTCATCATGTCTGCGCGGCCGTGAAGCTGGGGTTTCCGTGCACCGCGAGGACCTCAGACAGTGAGGGAGAGACTTGGATCCACAGTCCCCGCGCAGGGGTTCCCTCCCGCCGCTGGGATGACTGCACGTGCGGTTTCGCGCCTCGTGTCTCGCTCACGCAGTGAGCATCCTGTCAGATTCTCCCGCAAAAATGACTTCTTCTGTTGGGTTTTGTTTCTTTGTTTGTTTGTTTTTCCTTTGAGAATGGCATGGCACGCGACACGCTTTACACAAACCTGGAGAAGGCCCCCCGTCTCACCCGCAGATCATCCATGCCC